CTCCTATAAAAAATAAAAAATTCGACGTGTTTTGGTGGTGGTCCATTCTTTTGGACTAAAGTTAAATTTAGTCGTCAATCGATTATTCCGGTATCAAGATGCACGGATGCTGTGATATCCTCTATAAAACATCTTTTTTACTTTTAACAAAAATCTCACCAAATGCAAAATCAAATCTTTTTCACGGACTTGCATAACAATCAATTATAGTGATAGAATACATAGACAGCAGAAAGTAGATTCTGTTTGAAGTAGAAACACAAAATCTCTCCATAAAACCAAACTCATTTTCTCTTACTCAATTCTCTTGCAAAAACAAAACCCAAAACAATGTCCTCTGTTTCTCCCCAAAACAGGGGAAACTCTGTTTTCCTCTGTATTCACATTTTCATCTTCTTTCTCTACTAATTCTCCCTCATCTCCTCCCGGGTTTTTGCCCAAACCATGCCTTCTTTCGCCTGCGACATGGCAGGGAATTCTGGGCTGGGGAGTTTTGGGTTCTGTGATCGGTCGTTGGGGGTGAAGAAGAGGGTTGAGGACTTGGTGAAGAGGCTGACATTGCAGGAGAAAATTGGGTCCTTGGGGGACATTGGAGGGAGTACGAGTAGGCTTGGAATTCTAGAGTACAAGTGGTGGTCTGAGGGTTTACATGGTGTAGCACCAGGCTGGCATGGTGGGACAAGGTTCTCTGAATTAGTCCCTGGAGCTACTAGCTTTCCTCAGGTTATTCTCACTGCGGCTTCTTTCAATGTCACTCTCTTTGAAGCCATTGGAAAGGTATATATATATATATATGTCTCCATTTATATAATAATGTTCTTTAGATTATATTTCTAGGAATACAGAAACTGATCATAGAAATGTGAGGTGAATTCTATCTTTTGGCGAGTCCCACACTCGTGTAAGAGTGTTGTGTTTGATTTTGTTATTAGTTTTTGCATAATCATCATGAATTGTAATCAAATTTGTTAATATGATGTTTGATTTGTTCAGAACATCACGGTTTTGAGATTGCTTTAGAAAAGGACTTGTTTCTGGAAATGGGTATTTTTTAGATTGGTTAAAAGATCCATAGCCCTCTCTCTCTCTGTATCTGGCATTAAATTCACTATTGAGTTAGTTCACATTTTCATTTTGTGATTTATTTATAAAGTTTTGGGCAATATTGTCACACAAAAAAATTTGATTAGAAGAACATAAATTGTTTTTTTTTTTATTCATGTTTTTTTTATTTAATGGTTCATACTTTGATTCAGGTTAAAAACTCCGCGAAGATCAGGGGTGGTCTTTAATTTCAGTATTTCAGTTGGATTTATAATTTATTGGCCATTAATGATTTATTAGTTTGGTTTTTGGTTTCTAAGACTGAGGAATGATATTAAATTATCTCAAAAAGATTCATTGCATTACTAATTTTGTAGTGTTTTTTTTGGGTTAAAACATTTCAATGTTTTATGCAAATGACTCTGCTGGTTTGCTTGTTTGCTTGTTTGGTTGCTAAGAAACTTGATGAATCATTTAGTGCAAGGAAATGTGCAAATCGGGCTTCATTCATATAAGAATACAAAATTTTGGTTTTACAGATACAATTTTAAGCATGATTTATGCAACCTGTTTCTAGTCCAATAAGTCGACTAAGTTAAAAATGAACAATTTTCAACGACATTTTTGTATGTAGGCGGTTTCCACCGAAGCTAGAGCAATGTACAATGTCGGTTTAGCAGGATTGACATTTTGGTCCCCAAAAGTCAACATTTTCCCGGACCCCAGATGGGGACGAGGCCAAGAAACTCCCAGAGAAGACCCGTTGCTGACAAGTAAATATTCTTCAGCTTATGTGAGAGGCTTACAACAAAGGGATGATGGAAACAAAGACCGGCTCAAGGTTGCCGCATGCTGTAAACACTACACAGCATATGATGTCGATCATTGGAAAGGAGTTGACCGCTTTGAATTCAATGCAGTGGTAAGTCCTGTTTTGAGAAATTTCTGAGTCAGTTTTTGTTTTTGTTTTTTTTTCAATTTCTAAAATTTGCTAATGTAATGAGTTAGGTGACAAAGCAAGATATAGACGACACATTTCAGCCCCCATTCAAGAGCTGTGTTCTTGATGGGAATGTTGCAAGTGTCATGTGTTCCTACAACCAAGTCAATGGCAAGCCAACTTGTGCCAACCCTGACCTCCTCAAAGAGGTGATCCGAGGGGAATGGAAACTAAATGGGTATTTGTTATATCCCATACTCTTCATGACCTTTTCTAACCCATCATCGCCATTCGAGTTAACATTCGAAACTTCCATATGCATGAATTTTTTATTTCGCAGATACATAGTTTCGGATCGTGATTCAGTAGAAGTGTTCTATAAGCACCAACACTACTCATAAACACCCGAGGAGGCTGCAGCCAAGGCTCTATTGGCAGGTGACCAAGATTTCCACCCTTAGATTCGATCAATCAAAACATTTATAGTTTTGGATTAGTTAAGCTAAACACTTAAATTAACTAAAGAGATAATACCTACTTTCTTGATTTGGTAACACTTTAGCACATGACATCCGACAAATAATTAAAAAAATTCCATCCTAAAGAAATTTATATGCCAAAATGATCAACTGACTAATTTGATTCAACAGGGCTAGACCTCAATTGTGGAGCTTACCTAGGAAAATACACAGAAGGTGCAGTGAAAGCCGGGCTAGTGAATGAATCGGCCATTGACAGGGCCATATCAAACAATTTTGCAATGTTGATGCGCCTTGGCTTCTTTGATGGTGACCCAAGCAAGCAACGCTATGGGAAGCTCGGTCCAAAAGACGTATGCACCCCAAAGAATCAAGAGCTAGCCCGTGAGGCAGCCAGGCAAGGGATCATGTTGCTCAAGAACAGCCAAGGCTCGCTTCCTCTATCTCCCACTGCCATAAAGTCCTTGGCGGTTATAGGTCCCAATGCCAATGCCACACTAACCATGATTGGCAACTATGAAGGTATGCAATTCAAAAAACATTGATTTAAAAAAAAAAAAAAATGTGAGGAGGCAGCAAGCCCACATGGAGGGGCTGCCCCTAAATCCCAATTAATTTCACTTTCACTTCTTTCATTCTTCTTTACAATTGCACAGCTCATTCTCTCTCTCTCTCTCTCTCTGAATTTTATTTTTTATTTTTTTATTTTTTTTTATTTTTTGTGTTACTTCTATCATATAAAGTCTTTGATCTACCAAAATATATTAGGTTTTAGACCATAGTTCTTAAGATCAAAGTGAAAAGCTAGGCGAGAGCAACGTTTTGACCGGTGGAGATCGAAATCCAATACAACTGAAAATTAGGGTTTTTGCTTGTTTCCTCTTCTAGCTTGAGGTGATTATGAACAATTCCCAAATAAATTCTTGAATTGGGTCAAATTAGTATACAATGATAAATTTCTCAACTTGCATTTTCCCACCATGTCTGTTAAAAGTGAATTCATCGTTGTGTTTTTATTGCAGGTGGGAGGCTGCCCATGTCATGGTATCCACAGTCATATACCAAGAACATTCCAATGACAAACATGAACATGAGACCGAACCCTTTCACCAGCAACCCTGGTAGAACCTACCGGTTTTACACCGGTCCAACCATTTTTACATTTGGGCATGGACTAAGCTACACTTCGTTCAACCACCACCTAGTTCAAGCAACTAAGTTAGTCTCAATTCCCTTGGCAACACATTAACTTGATTCCTCTATAGTTGTTGCAATTCTAAATATCTCCTTTATTCTTATAAATTAGTATTAAAGTACTCTTGCTCCACTCATCTGGCATTTTCCTAGTCAACAAAATTTTGCTAAACAACCTAGTCAACCAAGCAATTCCCTTTTTACCCAAACACTTCCAAGCTTCAATAGAGATATCATCGGGTCCTAAAGCTTTATTTGATTTCATCTTCTTAAGTGCAATTTCCACTTTAAAATTCCTAATCCTGCGATAGAACCTACAGTCTTGGTTTATCGTATTACTGGTTATTTCTTCCCCTATTGGCGTACCTCCATGTTCCTCATTTAATAGTTTCTTAAAATAGTCCTTCCATCTTTCCTTAATCTCTTTATCCTTCACCAATACCTTAGAATCATCACTCTTGATGCACTTAACTTGATTAAAATCTCTTGTTTTCCTCTCCCGGATCTTAGCAAGTTTGTATACCCTCTTCTCTCCCTCCTTACTATCTAGTCTAGTGTATAGGTCATCATAAGCTTTCAACTTAGCCTCTCTCACAACTTTCTTGACCTCCTTATTAACCAATATGTAGCTCTTAAGGTTTTCTTCAGTTCTATCATTCTGTTACTTTTTAAAGTACTCTCTTTTTGCCTTAACTACGGTTTGAACCTCTTCCCTCTACCACCAAGTTTCCTTAGAGCTGGGTCCCATTCCTTTAGACTCTCCAAGCACTTCCTTTGAGATTCTCCTCATACAATTGGCCATCGAGTTTCACATAGTATTAGCATCATCTTCCAAGTCCCAAGTACCTTCCTTATCCATTTTATTCTTAAATATTTTTTAATTTATCTCCTTTTAGGTCCCACCATCTCGTCCTACGACGCCCACCATCCTTCCTAGCTTGGTATTGCCCTCTAAAACATAAATTTGGTACCAAAATCTAATGTTGATAGGTCAGGCTCTCTTCAAGAATCACCTTACAATCATTGCATTTTAGGCAGTCCACTTTTCTCACTAAGAAGTAATCTATTTGGCTTTTAACTAGCCCACTCTTAAAGGTTATCAAATGCTCCTCTCTCTTCTTATACATAGTATTGGCCACCACCAGGTCAGAAGCAAACGCAAAATCTAAGATACTCTCTCCAGCCTTATTTCTGTCACCAAAACCGTATCCGCCATGCACCATTTCATAGCCTAGTTTATCCATGCCTACATGGCCATTAAAATCTCCACCTATAACCAGGTTCTCCTACGGGTATTTCCTGTAAGATCTCATCCATTTGCTCCCAAAAATCCCTCTTAGTCTGATCATCTAATCCTACTTGAGCAGCGTATGCACTAATAACGTTCACTATATTCCCTCCAATAACTAGTTTAACTAATATAATCATATCTCCTTTCCTAATGACCGCCACTACATTCTCTACAATACCCTTGACAATTATGATTCCTATCCCATTCCGGTGTCTATCCTTACCACTATAATACAGTTTAAAACCGGTATCCTCAATTTCCCTAGCTTTTTCACCTGTCCATTTAGTTTCTTGTACGCAAGTTATACTAACTCTCCTCCTAATCATAACATCTACCAATTCCATCGTCTTACCAGTTAAGGTTCCTATATTCCAAGTGGCTATTCTAAACCTATAGTCTTGGACTAACTTCTTTACCCGTGCTCGTCTAGAAAAATGCGAGAACCTTTGCCCATTTTTCACCGCACCCAGGCGTCGATGTAGCGCCCCTTGCTCACTTTTCGAAACAGCCGGAGGCAGGCGTAACGCGTCACTTGAGGGAACGACCTAGCATTTACACGATTCAAAGTAGGATTCATTTTCATAAGGGATCCGAGCGGCTTTTTTACGTGTTGGCTGTCGGCTACCTTTATGATTTTCTTGATTCATTTATTCTCACTATAGTTTATGCTTTTTAGTTCCTTTTCTTAATGGTGTCTATCTGGCATGTGTTTTGACTTTCTTTTCCAATATTTCACGAGATGTCCGTCTTTAGGCTTTCTTAACTCTTGACTACCCACTCTTGAAGAAATATTTCGTATAAACTAGCTCAACTTTTCTGCTCACACCTTCCATTTGGGTTGGCTATGGAAATAAGACAGTAGGCTTAACATTGATTTCTTTAGTGTGCAACCATAGGAGATGGTACTACTCGATATAGTTGTGATTGTGCTGCTTCTCTCCCTTCTTTGTACCCTAACTTGTAAGCTAGGATTCTTTGAAATTGCTGCATTATTGCATAGTGTTTTATCTGGTGATTGAGTTCCTCTTGGCCTTTTGTCTGCTCATCAAGCATTTTATTCCATAAAAAGGTTTTCAAAAGCTCTGCATGGTTGCCTTCTTATCCTTGAGAATGCAAAAGCTAATTGAAGAGCTTTATTCTCTTCTGCAAGCACAACTTTGATTGAAGATCAGAGTGAATCATATTTTCGTAGGTATGCATAACTGAAATGTAGGAACTTATACTATGTTTGGTTGGACAAACAGGTTGAGCATTTTGGCAAAGTCTCAAATGCGCCTTTCTAAGTTGGATGGGTTGCGTCAAGCTGCTAAAACTGGGTTAGAAATGCGTTTTAAGAAGGAATGTGCAGAGCTAGGTACAAAAGTGGAGTCACAGGTTTAGCAGGCAGAGGCAAATAGAATGCTTATTGTCAAGGCTCGCAGGCAGCAAAGGGCCACGATAAAACAGAGGGCATCTCAATCATTATTATGAAGGATGGCTCGAGAAAACAAGTATAAGGAGTGTGTGCGTGCTGTAATTTTGCAAAAACGTGCAGCTGTTGAGAAGAAGCAATTAGGATTGCTAGAGAAGAAGAGGGCACGTGCTAGGATGCTGCAAGTACGAAAGGTTGCCAAGTCTGTATCTCACCAGTGAGAGATTGAAAGGAGAAAAATGAAAGACAAGTTGGAAGACAGACTGCAAAGGGTATGCACACAATCTTACATCAATTGACATCTTTCACCGAATTTATCACAATGTTGTTACTTGGTGTTCACATTTTATGGTGCTTGCTATATTTCTTACTTGTGGAATTTGATATTAAATAGGCAAAGAGAAAGAGAGAATATTTAAGTCAGAGAGGAAGGTTGCACAACTCTGATCGTGTTAATTGAAATAAGATGCACAAGGAGGCCGAACTCCTCTCCCTAAAGTTAGCAAGGTACACGTTCTGTAAAACATCATCAACCTTCAATATAGGAAAGTTAATAATTTTTGAGTATTTTCTGGCGTCTTTCTATTATTTGTTATAGTTTACTTTTCTAAAGGTGAATACCTGGATCAAGTTGGCCAGCGTTTTTGAGTTGAAAATGGAAATAAGCTGAAAACTTGGAAAATTTTGTCAAACACCCCAACTTTTCTTAGTACAACTACTTAAACGCAGGATTTCAAAATTTAAGCTAAATAAGCTACAAATAAGTTTTTCCAAACAGGCCTTAAAGTTGTCTCTACCTATCTCATATGTTGTTATTATCTTGAGGGAGTCGTTTATTTATTTTTATTTTTATTTTTAGTGTTGTTGGAGTTAAATAATGTTTGTATTTTGGTGTGAATGACAAATAATAACACAGCAGCAGGCTTAAAACGGATAATGGTTGAAATCAATTTCATAGGCCAATTTGATTTTTGAAATATTCTCACATGTATTTCTTTTAGATTTTAATTTGATACATAGTTAAAGATTTTCAGTTTTTTCGGATTTTAATTGGACACAGTTTTACTTGATAATTATTGTGCTTTGTAAGTGCTGGAGACAGTTCCTTCAGCTAAACAAAACTACCTTAGATTTGGCAAAAGCTTATAATGCTTTAAACATTAATGACAAATGTGTGAAATTGATGCCATTTGAGAAGCTTGCACTTCTGATTGAATCACTGGCTACCCTTCAGACTGTAAAAGCTTTACTTGACCGCCTTAAGAACCGATATAAACTGTCAAAGCCTGTTTTCGTTACCTCTAATCCTTCCAGTTGGGGTGACATTGATCATCTTCTTAATCAAGTTGCTTCCCCAAACAAGAAGGGTACACCCATGAAATCTACCCATAGCAAAGATGTCAAGAGACGAGGGTCCATCGGAGAAGCTTCCAAGAGGAGTCTTGTGAAATTATCTAGGTACCAAGTGAGAATTGTGCTATGCGCTTACATGATACTGGGCCATACGGTTGCAGTTTTCAGTGATCAAGGAGAACGTGAAATTGATCTGGCTAAGTCTGCTGAAAAGTTTGTTCAGGAGTTTGAGTTGTTAATGAAGATAATACTAGATGGGCCCATACAGAGTTCAAATGAAGAGTCTGACCATGCACTGGCTAGATGTTGGACCTTCAGGTCTCAGCTTGCAGCTTTTGATGCTGCATGGTGCTCATACTTGAGCAGCTTTGTTATGTGGAAGGTTAATGATGCCGAGTCCTTGGAGGAGGATTTGGTGAGAGTTGCCTGTCAGCTTGAGCTCTCTATGATTCAGACTTGCAAGATGACTCCTGATGGAGACAGTGGTGCTGTTACTCATGACATGAAAGCTATTCAGAAACAAGTATTATTTTTAAGCTCTAAAGTAATCTTTTCAAGCAAAAGCATCATCCCCATAAATAAGATTACATTGAAAAAAAAAATTAGGTACTTGAGAAAGTTTGTGTTATGATTATTATTTTCTCAAGTTGGCACTCTAAGACAGTTACTTCCTAATGAGCTATGCACCTTCTTATACTTCCAGCCAAGAAAGGTAACACAGCATTTTCTCACTCTCTCATCTGTCTCTGAATGCAACATCCTTTCCCACATCAGTTAGGTAAGAGAAGTTCACAGGCTATACTAGCAAGTTCATATCCCTTCCTAGTAACATGTTTTAAATTCATAGAAGTCTAGCCCAAAGTGGACAATATCATTAATCACATGAAATTTTCCCCAACCCCCTATATGGAATGTATGTATGGGATGACTTTTCGTCGCATCCCTCTTCGGGACGGGTGAGAAGCCCACAGTGTCGGACTCATCGTGGTGCTAAAAATCTGATCTCGCACAAAGAGTCTAAATCCGGCAAAAATATTTTAGAAAACTGATTTTCAATCAAATAATGCCAAAATTGGACTGTTTTGCCAGATAACAGAGTCGCCACCTAAATATTTTATTTTCTGGGAAATCTAGGAAACCCGTGACTCGTGCCAAAGGCTAAAGTCCGTCATCACCAAAGTTGCCTCAGCTCGAGAACTTAGGTATGAGAGGGGAAGGTCCTGAAATGAAAGCACCCCCGCTCGCCCGATCCGTAGATCGGCCTCTACTAATCATGTTTGTGATTGTTATCTACATCATATGCATCTTGTTCCAGTTATTAGGCTAACTTTACTATGTGATGCGCACACACACAAGTATAGACTAAGTCGCAAGACTTGGAACAAATCGACTCATGTTTGTTTTTCAAAAATGGTTTGAAAGTGCTACTCGCAAGTGAGCTAAAGTGCTAATTTTGCCACCAAACACAGTGGGCTTAAAACATGATTTCGCCACTTCTCAAAGTGGGCTTGAAACTCACAATCGTCGAATTGTTCTAATTCAAGTAACAAAGCCTTCATCCACAGGCATTCATGCAGTTATATCATTTAAGCACATAGCCTCATGGTAAGCATGCTAGTCATGGCAACATTCACACTCTATGCAACATGCTAAAGCGTAAAAAGCTTACCTAGTACTCCAAGCCAAAACAAAAGCTAATTAGAAAAATACATGATTCTTAACTATACAAAATGCTTAATGCAATACATGCAAAATGCGACTAAGTAGGCTCGGTTACTAATGACATGATATGGCATTCACTTCAAAACATGCTTTTAAACACGTATTCATCGAAGTATTTGAAGTACGATGCAGTTTGAATGATGAATCGAGCCATCGGTGCATGCGATACAAATGCATGAATGCAAGCATGTGAGCATAAGTATGCTAATCAAAATATGTCCCTAAATCTAACCAACATAAGTAGGTAAATAAAAGGGAGAAAGTTGTGGGGTTGGAAGACATGCACACACACACGCACCTTTATTACAATAATATGCCCTTGCGGCTCCAGGTGGCCGGCCGGCCACCTTAACTGGTCGGTAGGCTACCTCAACTGGCCAGCCGGCCAATGCAAGTGGTCGGCAAGCTAGTGCAAGTGGCCGGCCGGCCACTTCTCTTTCCAGAATTCTGCCTTTGCTGTAACAGAGAGCAACAGAGCCAAGACAATGTATTTGGCAAGAAATGTGTGTACTACCACCTTTCTCATCATGTCTCAAGCTCAAAGGAGTGCCGTACTTGGCTCTCAAGTCACCAATCAAGCATTTTCATGCATGATGGCCAAATAACCAAGCTTGTACAAGCTTAGTGCATGCACACATAAGACTCAAAGTGCCACCCACTATCATGCATGATCAAGGGAGATGGGGACAAAGGGGATTGGCTCATTTCATCACTTTGAGTATGAAATGGACTAATCCACCTTGTGTTCAATATAACGTCCAATTGAACACTTGACATATGCAATGCAATATGCTTAATCTTGTCACACTTTACTTGATTCAATTTTTGTTTACACATTTTACATTACCAAGCCATTCTTTAATTAATTGAGTCCAAGTGAGAGTCTTCTAATGGGAAAGATGGCCTAAGCCTCAAATGCCTTGAGCATGAAAGATGTCTCATGCCACTGGCTAGTAGAAACCCTCAAGAGAGGATTAAAGCCATTAAGCATGATATCCTCAAATTCGTACTCAAGCCAATAAGGGGCTCAGGACCACTTTCAAAGCAATAAAAGATGAGACAACAACGGAGGTGGTATGATGCCAAACTCATATGCAAAATGATGATGAGGCATGCAACCAACTACTTGAAACAACTCATGTTTAAGTGTATGAAATGACAAGCATGCAAATGAAGGGACTTACACCATAGCTATGCAGTGCAATGCAAGAATGATGAAGGCAGCCCAAAACAGTGCTGTGACAGTCCAAAACATGAACTAAAATGCAATGAACATGCACTAAAACAAACAAACACAACATGCCAAAATGTTGAGCTATTGAAGCATGTGAACTACAACTATGCAATGCAATGCATGAGGGACTAAACCAGTCCAAAACAGAGTTTCTACATGCCAAATCAGTGGCTAAAACATGATGAACATGAGCCAAAACAAGGTAGAACAAAATGCTAACATGTGATGCTACTTAAGCATGCAAACGAGGACTATGCAAGACAATGCATAAGGGCTTGAACCAACCCAAAACAGACTTTCTACATGCCAAATCAGTGGCAAAAACATGATGGATGCATGCTAGAAAACACTAGAAAAACATGCTACAAATGTGATGCTATCTAGGCATGCAAACTATAACTATGCAACACAATGCACAAGTTGCCTAAACAACTCAAAATAGAGCCTAAACATGGCAAAACATGAACTACAACATACTAAACGCAAGCCAAAATGAGCTAGACAAGTATGCTAACATGCAAGGCATACAAGGCATACAAGGGCCATTTACACTACAACCTTACAAAGCAAAGCATGCTTGACCAAACCAATCCAAAATAGAGTTTTTACAGGTCAAAACATGGGCCAAAACAAGCTGATCATAAGCTAAATCATGCTAGAAAAGTATGCTCAAATACAAAGCTAATCAGGCATGCAAACAAGACACATTAGGGGAGGCTAACCCCTCCTATTTTGGACTTCAAAATAGGTTTTTTGCCACTGAAAAACCTCTAAAAATCAGTGATTTGAAGGTCCAAAAAGTTACTTTTAAAGTGTTGAAAGATGGCACAAAAAGCTTTTCAAGCAAAGGAGCAAAAGGGTGAACCACCTCTAACTCAAAAGGAGCCTTAAACCACCATTTTAAGCCTAAAAAAAACAGAGTTTTTTTCAGTCCAAAAGCCACTAAAAAATAGCCCAAAAATGGTCCAAAGAGATAGCACAACAAGTGTACAAAATAAGCTTTAAAGGGAAGTAGTATACCTCTTGTAGCTCAACTTGTATTTTAGGCACAAGACCAAGCCAAAACCACCTCCACAAGCTCAAAGATGGTCCCAAGAACTCTCCTCTCAAAGGTGATCAACTTTGATGAAGGATTGTTATACAAAATATGAGTGTATGTAAACTTCTAAGTACAAGAGCTCAAGAGAAAGAGAAATCTAGAGAGAGAGGATTGTAGAGAGAGAGGCTCTCAAAATTTTCTAACTCTTCTAAGTTGTCTAACCTTGCAAAATGAAGAGAATGGCCTCAATATAGAGCAAAAAGAGAGCTTTTGGTCGAAATATTTGATTTGGGACAGGTGGCACTTTGTGGAAGACAACTGGAGGTAAATATCTTCAAAAAAATTGAGTTTGGGACATTAGTGGCCGACCGGTCACTTAATTGGCCAACAGCCCACTTAAAGTGGCCGGCCGGTCACTTTTAAAAAAATCTGCACTGTGGGTCCAACTTCAAATGGGCCTAACTCCTTCATCCGGACTCCTTTGCAAGTCATTATTGAGTCTAAATTCAAGCCCCAGAAGTCTTCTTTCCAATGGTGAAGCCTCACATCCAAATTCCAAGTGTGAAAAAAGTTATGTCTCTTTTAGTGAAGACTGCTCAGTTTCAACTTTGAACGGATTGATGCCTAACTTCAAGCAGTCATATCTCCCTCATCCGGACTCGGCTTTAGGATATTCTTGAGTGCAAAATGAAGCCCCAGAAGTCCTCTTTCCAATGATGGTGGCCTCATAACTAAATTCAAAGGGTACAAAAGGATAGACCTGATTAAGTGAAGGCTACCCATTCTCCTTTAACAGTCAAACCCAACTTCTTCTCCAACACGTTTTTTTCTCTCCTCTCCTATTTTCTTCAACTCCAATCCCTCAAATAAGATGTTTTGAAAGATTTTCCAAGGATTTCACCTCTCTTCCATTTATCTCCACTTTGTCCTTGCTCGGTTTATCGAAAGCATACTTTTGAACGAAATACGAGCCTCAGAACATCGTAGAAGCATTTTTCAAAAATGTTTTGAAAGAGAGGGTTTCAAAGTCTAAAATCTTTTGGTCCAAAAATAGGGTGTAAGGTTGGAATTGAGGCTCCTCTTACCAAAGAACTCGAACCTTTGCACGGTATGCCTTTCACCATCGCATGATCAACCTGCAGCACCCAAGCCTTAAAGGCCATAAAAAATGGAGTGTCTACAGTATGCAATTTGCATCTGTATTAAATGAGATGGATTTTATTTATTTTTATTTACTTTTTGTCTAATGAGGGCTGTAGAATATGGTATTTTAAGTCTATCACCCTATGTTGGCCATTTGGCTGGGGTGCTGGGAGAGGTAGACTGGATACATACATTACTGACAGCATTTGCACCAAGGGGCTACTTTCAAAATTGAACCCATGTTCTCAGTCGAGAGTGGAGATGTTGCCGGAGACACAGATGTTGAGAGTGCCAGTAAGAAATATAGGAGTATCATACGATCGTTAGAGATAGACAGAAGGACAACAGATTCCGACGGGGGAGAGATTAATGACGGGAATGACACACCCTTTATGAATCACTTGAAGTCTGTTAACAAGGGAATTAAAGAGTCTTTGGCATATGTAATTGGGACATTTTTCTGTATATTTATAGCTATGATCGTTGTTTGTATATTGATATACAAACACGATTCATCTTGATTGTGTAATTGTAAAGGTATGTAGATCACTTGTGATCTACACAGTACTTGTTTATGACGTAGTCATGATGTAATAATTATTATGGAATAATAAAACGCCAAAACAATTTACTGAGTCTCAGTCTCAGAATTAATTATTTAATGCATTATATTCTCTCTCTCTCTCTCTCTCTCTCTCTCTCTCGCTCTTACTTTCCTTTTCCAATTCATTTCTTAGCCCTTAAGTCTTTTGTGAGTCACGTAGCCTTTTCGTAGGCCAGCGAATAAAGTAGCTAGCACCGCCTTTCACTTTAATTTGAAATATCTTGCTGCATATTTCATATGCAGACTCACAAAGACTAAAGGGCTAAGAAATGAATTGGAAAGGGAAAGTGAGATAGAGAGAGAGAGAGAGAGAATATAATGCATTAAATAATTAATTCTGAGACTAAGACTCAGTAAATTGTTTTGGCCTTTTATTATTCCATAATAATTATTACATCATGACTGCGTCATAAACAAATGCTGTGTAGATCACAAATGATCTACAACAATTACAAATACTTTCTTTATTAAAGTTCAATTAAATGTATCCGATCCTCGGATACTTTAGAATAATCTGGAAGCACATTACACAATACAACTATGTGTATTGGACAAAAGTACATTACACGTGACTCGTATTTTTGATTAAATAATACACCATTTTTAAAATATTCAATTATATTATATCTTATATCTTGACACCTGGCGGCATCAAAAATTACAATATTTTGATAATCATAAGCAAATATAATGTCTTCACTTCTTCCCCCATTGAACATGAATGCTCCTTTAGTAGCAACAAGGTATTTACCAAATGTTGATTTGCCTTCACCTCTCTCACGATCATAAACCCAGTATATGATATGTCTATTTGAAACATCTTCTAAAAACACCAACAATTATTTTTGCCATTCTGCCAGATCTAACTCTAAGAGACATCTATTAAATTCTTTCTAGTAATATATTGAACGAGCTTTCTTCAACGCTTCTTTGTGTTTTGAAAAACTTTCTGGATCGTCAATCATAATCTGCTCTAAGGATTCTCCAGCGAAAGCTCTCTTCATCGTTTCACTCAATTTAGGCATGGATGAGTCGGACTCAATCCAAGTACCAAATTCCCATGAACCTTCAACTCTTGTCTGTTCTTTTATACAATAAGCACGAACACCATCACGATTACCTTTGCAAGACTCGCAATGAACATTCTGACCTAACCATTTGTGAAACCAACTCACACGTTGAGGTTTGAACAACTCAAGTTATGCCTGAATATGATGAGTGCCTCGGTCACCAACTTCCAGTTGGTAACCCATATATCTAACATCTTTAGGGAACTTTGAATGGTTGAGAGGAACCTCCAATGGATTATTTATTGTCAGAATATATCTTCTTATCTTAGACATCTTTAAAACTCTTGGAACGCTTCACTCTATAGATAGAACAATAGCGGACGCGTGCATGGCTCAGATAACGGGACATGTAACAGCACCGCGTAATACTAGGGTAGCGAGGCTGTCCCGGTTATTATTGTGCCCTCGGAGGGCAAACTTGTCTTATGCCACACATAAGTGGGGGTAGAATGGTAACATAACCCCAAGCGCAAGGATGACACATGTAGAAAATTTAATGTATAAAGAGAAATAGAGAATTGTATTATTGATTGATTTTTATGTTATAAATTACAAATGGTGAGGGGCTCCTTATATAGGAGATGTAGTGGAGTAGGTGGTAGTAGGTGGTAGTGGTAGGTGTGTAATAGGTGGCAGTAGGTGGTTGTAGGTGTAGTAGGTGGAGTAGGTGGTGGTAGGTTTTAACAGCCCCCCGCAAACTCAAGGGGGATAGGAACTAACCAACTTGAGTTTGGAGAGAGTAACAAAACACAAGATCGCAATGAACATTCTGACCTAACCATTTGTGAAACCAACTCACACGGTGAGGCTTGAACAACTCAACGTACGCCTAAATATGACGAGTGCTTTGGTCACCAACTTCTAGTTGGTAACCCATATATCTAACATCTTTAGGGAATTTTGAATGGTTGAGAGGAACTGCCAATGGATTATTTATTGTCAGAATATATCTTCTCATCGTAGACATCTTTAAAACTCTTGGAACGCTTCACTCTATATATAGAACAATAGGGGACGCGTGTATGGCTCAGATAACGGGACATGTAATAGCCCCATGTAATACTAGGGTAGTCGGGCTGTCCCGGTTATTATTGTGCCCTCGGAGGGCAAACTTGTCTTATGCCACGCATAAGTGGGGGTAGAATGGTAACATAACCCCAAGCGCAAGGATGACACATGTAGAAAATTTAATGTATAAAGAGAAATAGAGAATTGTATTATTGATTGATTTTTATGTTATAAATTACAAATGGTGAGGGGCTCCTTATATAGGAGATGTAGTGGAGTAGGTGGTAGTAGGTGGTAGTTGTAGGTGTGTAATAGGTGGTGGTAGGTGTAGTAGGTGGAGTAGGTGATGGTAGATTTTAACAACACATTACCTGACGGCCTAAAGAAACAACGTAGCCTTTTTATGGGCCAGCGAATAAAGTAGTTGGCATTCTTCATGACCAAGAAACGAATAAAGCATAAAGCAACAAACCACTTTCTTTCTTAGAGTTCAATTAAATGTATCCGATCCTCGGATACTTTAGAATAGTCCGGAAGCACATTATACAATACAACTACATGTAGTGAACAAAAGTACATTACATGTGACTCGTATTTCTAATTAAATAATACACCATCTTTAAAATGTTCAATTATATCATATCTTATATCTTAACACCAGGCGGCATCAAGAATTACAATATTCTGATAATCATAAGCAAATATGACGTCTTCACTTCTTCCTCCATTGAACATGAACGCTCCTTTAGTAGAAACAAGGTATTTACCAAATGTTGATTTGCCCTCACCTCCCTTACGACCATATACCCAGTATATGGTACGTCTATCTGGAACATCTTCTAAAAACACCAACAATTGTTTCTGCTATTCTGCCAGATCTAACTCTGAGAAACATCTATTAAATTCTTTCTGGCAATATATTGAATGAGCTTTCTTCAACGCTCCTTTGTGTTTTAAATAACTCTCTGGCTCGTCAATCATAATCTGCTCTGAGGATTCCCCAACGAAAGCTCTCTTCATCGCTTCATTCAATTTAGGCTTGGATGAGTCGGACTCAATACAAGTACCAAATTCCCATGGACCTTCAACTCTTGTTTGTTCTTTCATACAATAAGCACGAACACCATTGCGATTACCTTTGCAAGATCGCAATGAACATTCTGACCTAACCATTTGTGAAACCAACTCACACGTTGAGGCTTGAACAACTCAACGTACGCCTAAATATGACGAGTGCTTTGGTCACCAACTTCTAGTTGGTAACCCATATATCTAACATCTTTAGGGAATTTTGAATGGTTGAGAGGAACTGCCAATGGATTATTTATTGTCAGAATATATCTTCTCATCGTAGACATCTTTAAAACTCTTGGAACGCTTCACTCTATATATAGAACAATAGGGGACGCGTGTATGGCTCAGATAACGGGACATGTAATAGCCCCATGTAATACTAGGGTAGTCGGGCTGTCCCGGTTATTATTGTGCCCTCGGAGGGCAAACTTGTCTTATGCCACGCATAAGTGGGGGTAGAATGGTAACATAACCCCAAGCGCAAGGATGACATATTGCCTGACGACCTGAAGAAAGAACGTAGCCTTTTTGTGGGCCAGCGAATAAAATAGACGGTACCGCCTTTCACTTTAATTTAAAATATCTTGAAGCATATTCCATACGCGAACTCACAAAGACTTAAGGGCTAAGAAATGAATTGGAAAGGGAAAGTAAGAGAAAGAAAGAATACAATGCATTAAATAATTAATTCTGAGACTGAGACTCAGTAAAATGTTTTGGCCTTTTATTATTCCATAATAATTATTACATCGTGATTACGTCATAAACAAATACTGTGTAGATCACAAATGATCTACAACACTTACAAATACTTCACAACATATTCATATATTTTTAGTTTCAATTCTGAAACTTACTGCCAAATCTGTATACAACTTTGAATCTTTCTGTCTTTACTGATAATTCTTCTGTCTGGAAACAATCTTCTACATCAATGTTATGTCTTCTTCCCAGAACATAACTTAGACTACTGATAATCTTCTTTGATAGATATATCTTTATATCATCTTCTTTCTGAATCTCTGGAATATCATGCGAAACACATGATGATGAAGTTGATGTAGATATTTCTTCACGTTTCTTTTTACAATTCTTCACAAAGCCTTCGGCTTCTTCTATCATAGGATCTACACGTGACATCTTCAATTGCATACCAGTTCTAACAAACACCAGCAAACAGCATCTCCAACAACGTGAAACATAACATGTTGAACTCTATCAACATGTATACAATAGC